TGGCGGAAGGGGGCGGGACGAAATTTTGAAATACACTTGTAGCAGTGTGATGTCACATGAGCCTGGAAACCAAATTTGGTTTCTCTAGCTCTTATAGTCTCTGAGATCTAGGCGCTCATCAAGAGGGACAGACGGACGGAAAGATGGACATGGCTATATCGACTCGGCTATTGATGCTGATAAAGAATATATATATGTTGAATATGTAAACTTAAACAAAGCACTGTGTCTTCTCTATTTTTCTTTCTGTTATGCATTATCCAGCATAAGTAAACATGTATGTATGAGTCGCAATGAAGCGGCGTTCTCTCGTTTCCATTTTTGATTTGTATTCCGTCTGCCTTTGACGGACATCTTTTTGCTCTTCATATTTAGTCACAAATAAATACCACAACGAATAGGTTATGGGCCCAGAATTTCTGTCTGCGGCGGTTGAAAGTGATTTTTCTGACTTTCTGAAATTGTGACTCGATCGATTGCGAAAATGGGTTCGCCTTTCCATTCAATCGATAAGCTCGACAATGAGAATTATAGTGCGTGGGTAATCCAAATGAAAAGCGTGCTAATACACTCTGAGTTGTGGTCAGTAGTGTGCGGTCGAGAAGTGAAAAATGAAGAAGATAATGATGCGCAGAAGGCACAGTTTGATCTAAAAGACGAGAAGGCTCTTGCGAGTATTATGCTGTGTATCAAGCCATCCCAGATAAACTATGTGAAAAACTGTACATCTGCAAAAGAAGCATGGAAAGTTCTAGCGGGTATCCATATGCCATCAGGCCCCGCGCGTCGCATAAGCCTGTTAAAGCAGTTGTTGTTCGTAAAAATGAGCGAAAATGAATCGGTAGTGAACCACGTAAATAATTTTTGTGCGATCGTGGAAAAACTGAAAGAAATTGACTTAACAGTTCCTGAAGAAATTTTGTCTATTCTGTTGCTATCGAGCCTGCCCGAGGCCTACGAAAATTTTGTGGTAGCAATGGAGACACGTGATTGTTTGCCAAATTTGAACTCTCTGAAAGTAAAGCTTCATGAAGAAGGAGACAGGCGCAAGGCAAATCAAGAATGCGCAGAGAAAAGTGAACAACGAGCGTTCGGTTCGGGTGTTAAAAATTGGTCGTCGTCAAAGCAAAAGACGAATAACGAAAACGGACAGAAGAAAACGAATGGCCCGAGTGGGATAATTTGCTGGTCGTGTGGTCGTCGCGGACACAAGGCGTCAAAGTGTAGAGCAAAGAACAATCAAGAAAACACACCGAAAGGAAATAACGAAACCGAAAGAGAGAAATCGTATTCCGTTTTTGCGTGCGCGTCTGTACTCGGTCGGTACTCTCTTTCCGAAGAGTATGTGGTGTGTCGACAGTGGTGCCACGGCTCACTTGTGTTGTGAGCGATCTCTTTTACCGAACTAAAAGAGCACAAAGAGCGAATTGCTTTAGCGGGCAATAGCTACATAGAAGCTGAAGGGCGCGGCACAGTGGATTTGATTTGGGAAAATAACCACATAAAACTTGTCGACGTTTTGTATGTGAAGGAATTGCAATGCAATTTTATGTCGGTGTCCAAGGCCATCGAAAATGGTTTCTCTGTTGAATTTGCAAAGACAGAAGCGCGTGTGAAAAACAATAAAGGCGTCGCCATAATGGTTGCAAAAAAGCAGCACGATTTGTTCTTGTTCCAAAATCAAGAAAACAAATGCTTAAATGTACAAAAAACCCAGTAAACGTGTGGCACGATCGTTTCGGACATTTAAACTATGCAATCCTAAAAAAGATGATGTGTGAAAAAATGGTTAACGGTATTAAAACAAGTCCATTAAATGACATGAACGGCCAGGTGTGCGAAACCTGTGCAAAATGCAAAATTTGTGTAAAGCAATTCCCAAAAGCTAGTGCAAGCCGTGCAAACAATGTTCTTGGATTGGTGCATACTGACATTTGCGGACCAATGAATAAAAACTCCTTAGGCGGAGCTCGGTACTTCGTAACATTCATCGATGACAAATCGCGCTATGTGTTTGTTGATTTTCTGAAGACAAGAGACGAAATCTTAGTCAAGTTCAAACAATTTAAATCATTCGCGGAAAATCAGTCGGGAAAGAAGTTGGTACTCTTGAGAAGCGATAACGGTCGGGAATACTTGAGTGACGCGTTTGAGTCATGTCTTGTTGACAACGGGGTAAAAAGACAATTAACTGTGCCTCATACCCCCCAATAGAATGGTGTTGCGGAACGAGTTTCTACATTGGTAGAAATGGCCCGCAGCATGCTCTTTCATGCAGGATTGGACGAGCGATTCTGGGCAGAAGCAATCAAAACTGCTGCATATTTGCGTAACCGTGCAGAATCTTCAACTTTACCTGGCATGACACCGTTTGAAGTGTGGACAGGAAGGAAGCCCTGTGTCGGCCATTTGCGGATCTTTGGTGCGAAGGCAATTGTGTTGAATAAAACTCAACATAAGAAATTTTCGCCAAAAGGCGAAGAGCATTATTTGGTCGGCTATTCTGAAACAGCAAAGGCATATAGGCTGTTTAATCCCGAAAAACAAAAAGTGATTGAGGCACGAGATGTAATTTTCATCGAGAGCTCCCTGTATAGGAATCGCATGCCTTCGTCGAGTGCTGCTGAATATGTGCAGCCGCAGCTTGTAGAGTTCCAGAAGCATTCTATTCCGGACGAAGAGGCCCTGGACGTGGCTAGTGAGGATGAATCCTTAGTTGAAATGGACGATATGCGAAACACAGAGGAGCCAGAAGGTTCAGATCGAGTTGACGATGACAGACATTTGGTCGTCGGACAGCCGATTTCAGAAGGAGCACGAAGGGGTCGCGGGAGACCGAAAAAGGTTTATACGGGTCGGCCTGGACGCCCAGCGAAGGAATATCACATGCTGAACACCATATCAGCTGAAGCTATTAGTGTCCCTGCTAATGCAAATGAGGCATTAACGAGTAATCATGCAGCGGACTGGCGTGCTTCAATGAAAACGGAAATGAACAGTCTTCTCAAAAATAAGACTTGGTCTCTAGTCGATCTATGTGGGTGTATGTGGGTGTACGCACTAAAGCGTGACAAAGATGGCAATGTCGAGCGCTTCAAAGCCCGACTTGTTGCCAAGGGCTGTGCTCAGCGATATGGAGTAAACTTCACCGAGACTTTTTCACCAGTTGCCAGATACTCAACGATCAGGCTGGTCATGGCATTGGCTGCAGAGCACGGGTGGTATATGCACCAAATGGACGTTTCGTCAGCGTATCTTAATAGCGAGTTACATGATGTCATCTACATGCGTCAGCCGGAGGCATTCATTGATCATCAATATCCTGAGCGTGTGCTAAAGTTGCACAAATCGTTGTATGGTCTAAAGCAGAGCGGCAGGGAATGGAACGAGAAACTCCATTCTACACTCATCAAGCTTGGATTTCTACTGTTTGAGCGAAGAGGCGTCTCAGGGTGTCCACCAAAGAGTCCCAAGATAAAAGGCGTTAGAGTCCGTGTTTTTCAAATCTTATTTTGGGGTTTGTTCTGGATATGTATATGTAAAATGTCGCGAGCAAAAGCCGGCCGTTTTGCGTTGGGTGGAAAAGCGAATTGAAGCTCGATCGGTTGTACTCCAGCTGCCGAGGGCTGTCGGCGGCGAGAGCGGGAGCGTGAGCGTGGGCGGGAGCGCCAGCGTGGTGAATAAGCGCGCGAGAGCGCGTCGCGGGGGGAAAAATGCTCTTAAGTACGAGGGCGAGAGCGAGGGCGACCGCTTGGGTAGCTGGAACGCTAACAGCGATGTGTGGCTGGAATGCCCACAAGCGGTTGCCCCGCCAGCGCCATCCTCACTCTGAACATTCTCCCCCCCCTTGCAGGAATGCAAAGATTTTTTACGTCTGCATGCACGCACCAGACACGATCCATCCAAACACCGTGCTTTGAGCCACGGGAAGGCCGTCTGCGCGGGCGAGGAACCCCGGTTGAATGACCCTTGGATACAAATCTGCACCCAAGACGAGCGAGATGGTGGTCGGCTTGTGGAACTCCTCGTTGGCCAACTTCAAGTCGCCGAAGCGAGCACGGACGGTGTCGCTCAGTGGACGGATCGGCGTACGGATGCGCAGACGGGGCTCGATCTTGAAGACTGCCTCCGCCTTAAAATCTCCTGTCTTCGCCCGGATCATGGCGGTGCACACCCGCTCGTCCCCGATGCAGGTAGTGGGCAATTTCAGTTCCCTAGCCACCTCGGCGTCGATGCAGCTGACCGGCGTGCAGGGGTCGATCAGCGCACTCATCATCTTGGTGCCTGCGAGGACCACCATTGCCGTCGGGAGGACGTTGATGCTCCGGTGCTGGAGCAAGGAGTTTGCGGTCGGGATTGGAATTCCGACGACAGGGCGGCTGACCGGAAGACGAGGGCGTGGTTTGGCGCGGGAAGACTTAGGTGAAGTCGACGGAGCCGAGGAAGAACCAGCAGGGCGCCGAGACGGAGGTGACGTCGACGGAGCCGAAGAGGAGCCAGCAGGGCGCCGAGACCCGGGTGAAGTCGACGGAGCCGAAGAGGGTCCAGCAGGGCGCCGAGACCCCCCGGGCAGGTGGAGCAGAGTGTGGTGGTTCCGGGAGCACACCTTACAGAGGTCTCCACTGCGGCAGTCCTTGCCCGAGTGCTCGTGAGCCAGGCAGTTCGAGCAGTATTTGTGCAGAAGGACGGCTCGGAGCCTCTGCTCGACGCTCAACCGGATAAACTTCCGGCAGTTCCTTAGTGGGTGAACTCCGGGGCACACTCGACACTGGAAGGAAGTCTTCCCTCGTGCCCTCGTGCGATCCGACCTGCGGCTGGATCGGGAACGTGATGCGGTCTGCGGGGCCATATCTACTTTCTGGAAAAAACTAGGATGAAAGAAAGGAATCACCGGAGCATTAGTAACAAACTGGCATGGGTTGGCATACGGATACGGATACGGGTACGGATACGGGTACGGATAACTACGTTGGATTTACGCAGAACAAAAGGGCGGAGGCTTATGAATCGGAGCCTCCGCGCGAGTAGGTGGACAGGACATCCGATTCCATAGGCAGCAGAACCACCTTCGTGATCGGTCTCTTGATAAGGCCGCGGGCCGTGAGTAGGTCTACCACACGGACCTTATCATCGGCTCCAGGATACGCGTTCTGCACACGGCCGAGACGCCATTCCTGAGCGGGGATGTTCTCCTCCTTGATCACCACGAGGTCTCCAACCTCGAGGTCTCTTGTCGGATGCTGCCATTTGTTGCGCTTGTGCAACTCTCGCAGGTACTCTGTCTTCCAGCGCGAACAGAATTGCTGGTTGAGAGCCTTGAGATGTTGCCAGCGGTTTAGGATGGAGGAGGCGCTCGCTTGTATTTCTGGCTCGGCCACGGATAGTAGCGGACCACCAATCAGGAAATGGCCTGGGCTCAAGGCCAACGGATCAGTTGGGTCCTCAGACATAGGAGAGATTGGTCGCGAGTTAAGGCATGCCTCAATCTTGGAGAGAAAGGTCGCGAACTCCTCTAATGTGTATTTGGAAGTACACATCGACCGTTGGAAAAGAGCCTTGAAGCTCTTCACACCCGCTTCCCATAAGCCCCCCATATGTGGGGCCCCTGGAGGGATGAATCGCCACGTGAGCCCCTGCTGGCTGTACACCGCGGAGGTCCGAGTGCGGAGGGCCTCGAGAAGGTCCACAGCCAGAGAGCGGGATGCGCCGACAAAATTCCTCCCGTTGTCGGAGTGGACTTCGTGGGGACAGCCTCGTCTCGCGACGAACCGGGCGAAGGCGGCTAGGAACGTGTCGGTGGACAAGTCGGACGTAGCCTCCAAATGGATGGCCTTCGTGGTAAAACAAACGAAAACGCACACATACCCCTTGGAGATGCGACAGGCGCGTCCTGTGAAACTTTTCACGTCGAACGGCCCGGCGAAGTCGACTCCGGTGTATGTGAACGGCCGCGAAAATGTAACTCGTGAGGAAGGAAGGTCGCCCATTAATTGGGTTTGGAGTCGCTTGCGTTGGATGACGCAGACCTTACAGGAGTGGATTACTGCCCTCACGACGTGACGTAGTCGAGGGATCCAGTATGTTGCCCGGAGAAGGCGGATGACCAGCTGGTTCCCACCATGTAGGGATACGTGATGGGTGAATCGAACCAGCAGGCGAACCAGGAGGCATGCGGGTGGCAACAGGATTGGATGCCGCTCATTGTAGGTCATGGATGCCGAGGCTCGGACCCGGCCACATGCCCGCATGACTCCGTTTTGGTCCAGGAACGGATTGAGGTTCTGAAGAGAGCTCGTAGTCGGAAGTGGCTGCTTGTTTACAAGACAGCGATGCTCCGCCGTATAATGGGAGCGTTGGGTCGTGATGGTGACAGCTTGGAGAGCTGCAGCGACCTCTTTATTGTCTAGCTCTGTGGATACGTGGACTGGCGTTGCTTGCCCTCTGACGCGCAGGCCGAACCGCCGAACGTAGGCGATCACGCGCAGAGCGCGTCCGAATTCGGAAAATCGGCTGAGAATGTCCGAGGCTGTGTCAGTGGCGTGGTGAACCTTGACGGCTCGTTTCTCCAAGTCGGTCTCAAGGATTGAGCCTCGTGGACAAGGCCACTCCGACTGCGGACCACGCAGCCACGCAGGGCCATGCCACCACATGTCATTGCCGACCAGTTCAGTGGGTCCGAGCCCTCGACTGGCGAGGTCGGCCGGGTTGTCCTCGGATCGGACGTGGCTCCATCGTTCGCGGGGCCAACAGCGAGTGATTTTGGCGACTCGATTCCCTACAAAGGTGGTCCAATCACATGCCGGCCTGTTCAACCAGGCCAACACAATAGTGGAATCGGTCCAAAAGTACACCTGGCTGGCGTCGAGCGGCATTTGAGGAAGGATGGCCACGGAGAGTTCTGTCAGAAGGACAGCTCCGCACAGCTCGAGTCAGGCAACGAGACTGTTTTCACGGGGGCAACGCGGGTTTTGGCTGTGAGAAGGGTACACACAATGCCCTGCGGACGCTCAACTCGGACGTAGATCGCTGCCCCATAGGCACGTTGAGACGCGTCGCAGAACCCATGAATCTGTACCTTGGCCATCGGACAGACGTGTAACCACCGCGGAATGCGGATCCCTTGGATGGCCGGAAAGCTGTTCAGGAATGTCTCCCAGGCTTGAGACAGATCGTTAGGAAGGACGTCATCCCATCCTAACTCTCTCAACCAAATCTCCTGCATAAATATTTTCGCTTGGACGACGAAGGGGGCAAGCCATCCCGCTGGATCAAAGAGCTGCGCGATCTGGGACAGCACATTGCGCTTCGTGCAGGATTGTCGCTTGTTTAAAGCGGGAGGCGAAAAGAAGAACTCGTCGGCACTGGCTTGCCATCGGATTCCCAACGTCTTAGCGATGCTACTCTCTTCCAGCTCTAGGAAGTCAGCGCGGAGTAAGTGGTCGACTGGAATGTCGCGCAGGACGCCCTTATGGTTAGCTGTCCACTTTCGGAGCGGAAACCCTGCAGAGTCGAGTGCTTCGCGTAGTTCAGCAATGGCGGAAATTGCCTGAGACTGAGAGTGAGCACCAGCGAGCACGTCGTCCACGTACATGTCGCTCTCCAGGATGACGCTTGCCATCGGCAGCTGTGGACGCACCTCTTGTGCGAGTTGCTTGAGGACGCGGAGGGCGAGGTACGGTGCGCAGTTGACTCCGAAAGTGACAGTGGTGAGCTCGTAGTCACACACGTCCCCGTTACGGTCGCGAAACAGTATTCGCTGATAGGGCGTGTGTTGGGAAGCCACTTGGATTTGCCGATACATCTTGTTGATGTCGGCATTGAAAACGTAGCGAAAGACGCGCCACCTCAGGATTTGCATGGTCAAGTCAGACTGAAGGACTGGCCCAGCATGCAACGTGTCGTTGAGGCTTTTCCCGTTGGAAGACGGGCTGGAGGCGTTGAAGACTACGCGCAATTTGGTTGTGGTGCTGTCGGGTTTAAACACGGCGTGATGTGGCAGGTAGAAATGGCCGGAATCATGACTAGGTGTAACCGCTGTCATGTGGCCGAGCTCTAATACTCCTGAATGACGGAGTCGTACTGCTTCTTGAGCGGCAAGTTCCGCTGCAGCCGCTGCTCGTTTCTAAGGAACTGGGCCTTGGCCGCGCTTCTGGAGTGGCCTAGCTCGACTTTTTCTGGACACTTGAAAGGGAGAGTAACCACGTATCTCCCATTGGGGGTTCGTTTAGTGGTCTGGAGGAAGTTTTCCTCGCACACTGAATCGGACTCGCTCGTCGGTCTCCCGGAAGGTCCTCCACCTCCCAGAATTTGGTGAGAAGCTTCTCGAGTCGGACATCCGAATTAAACGAGAGCTTCGTGGTGAAGGCGGAAACCGTCCGAGCCGAGTCAGCTGATACCGGACCGGATAGGACCCATCCGAAGATGGTCTCTTGTCCCAGCAGCGAGCCACAAATGGCAGACTGGAAGCCGCTCAGCAGGATAGCAGGAAGGATGTCAGCGCCTAGAAGCACATCAATCTGCGAGCTTCGGTGGAAGGAAGGGTCTGCTAATTGGAGGTTTGGAAGGTTATCCAAGAAGTGCTGCGGTATCGGATATGAAGGAAGGTTGCCTGCTAATTGAGGCAGAACATATGCCGTGGTCTCGATCTTGAGGCCCGGCCTGGAGGCGGCCCCGATCATGAAGTGGCAACGCTTTTGCGCCTTAGCCGCTACGGTTTGGTTTAAACCCGCGACTTGAGCCTGGATAGCTTCGAACGGTGGCTTAATGATGTTAAAGAGGCGTTCAGTGATGAACGTCGCTTCGGAGCCTGAGTCGATCAGAGCGCGGGCACGGAAATTGGTCCCCAGGTGGCAAATATTAATGAGTGCTGTGCCCAGAAGAACGGTACTTGTGCTGGAAGAGAAATAGCTCTGTACGTTGGGCTGAGAATCGGACGCGCTGGGGGTTTGGGCGGATGTCGAAGCCGCCATGTTGGACGGAGGCGCGGAACGATGCAGAAGCGTGTGATGTCTGGCTCCACAAGTGGAACAATTGTGGCTGCTTGAGCAGTCGCGAAGCTGATGGCCTCTTGCGAAGCAATTTAGGCACAGCTGTCTTGTCTTGATGCACTTGGAACGTGCATCAGCGGACATGTTGAGAAAGCGCGGACATAGTCGGATCGGGTGATTCTCCTTGGAACAGAGATCACACGTCCTCTTCTTCGGACTCACTTGGTTCTTGAAAGAAAGAACCTTGTTCGGCACCGAACTGCCGTGCGACCGGAATGGATTGGATCGGCTGCAAGAAGTGGATGGATTCTGGCCGCCTTGGGAGGGTGGCGGATTCGTAGCCACTCGGGAAGTGGAAGGGTCGCTCTCAATAGCTTCGAGCGTCAAATAGCGCTGAGTGAGGAAGGAGTCGATTTCCTTCCAGGGCGGCACTTCCTTCTTGTCCGTCACGGACGCTTCCCATAAGGCGCGGCTTAGCTTCGGCAACTTTGAAGCGCAGATAGTTACCAGCAGACTATCCCAATTGTCCGTGCAAACGTTGGAGACCGCTAGCGCATTTAGGACTCCCTGCATCGTACTTTGAAGTTCCTTCAAAGCCCGACTGCATTCGGAAGTTACGCGGGCAAGAAGAGGAGAATGTTAATTTGGTTGGTCACCAGAAGCCGATTGTTCTCATATCGGCTGCGGAGAGCCAACCAGGCGGACTCGAAACCGTCATTCGTGAGGGGGGACTTTTCTACAATGGCCTTTGGGTCGCCCCTGGTCTTCTCGGTGAGGTAGTATAACTTCTCTACCGGAGATAACTTTGGATTGTTTATCACGACCGCGGTGAACAGATCCCGGAAAGTGGGCCAGCGGACGTAGTCCCCTGCGAAAACCTCAATATTGACGGGAGGCAGTCGACAGCCGCCCTGTTGGACTGGATGTGCGGGAGGAAGGACTGCGGAGGGGGCCAGCTGGGCATTGAGGTCGCTGAGACACTGCTCAAACACCCCATAGCATTCGCCATATGTTTCCCGGATGTCCGCTTGGATTTCTGGATCCTCGTCAGCCATCACCGCGGAACAGGCCTTGTATTCGGCCTCGACGTCCGTCCACATGCTGAGGATTTGGCCTCGGCGGACCTCGGACAGAGAGGCGGATGGGGCGGAAGTGATACGCTCTGCCAGGTGGGAGAGTCGGCCAATGGCGGCTACCAATTTGGTCCGAGCGGCAGAGGTGGCGGATTGAGCCATTGTGGTGAAGTGGCGAGAGCTGACGGGACTAGTGATGCAGCCTTTCGGATCCTGTTTAGTCACCGATGGAACCTTAAGGGTCACCGGAGACGGGAATAGGACCGATTTGGTCCTTGTAGCAGGGCTGCTACTGGCTGCTCTCGGAGTGAGGGATGCCTTGATTGGCTGTGTCGGAGTAGTTCCGGAGGCGGACGAGGTGCGTAGCCGGTTGGACGAGGTCACAGGCAAAAGTTGTTTGCCGTCCTTGTGACCTGTTGGCATAATTTAAAAGGACCCATGCAAGAAAAAATCGGTTTTTTTTTTTGGAAGTCTGTGAGGGACTGCAGACTGGTCTGAATAGAGTTGACTCGGAACCGTCAGGAAACACCCGTAACCCAAACACGGACTATCAGACAAAAGGCCTCAAGCTAGCTGGAAGGCAATAATCGGAACGACTCGGATTGTTTGAGGTCACCTGTAGGTGAGAAATCTCAAACAATGAGTGACCCTATATTGAGCCGAGCTGAGGAGAGGAACGGTCACACTGGAGTAGCAATATTTGGAAATATTGACTGTGCGATGCTCCTCCGTTTACCCCTTGACGCAGTCGTGAGCGGAACTTCCCTACAAAGGTGGTCCAATCACATGCCGGCCTGTTCAACCAGGCCAACACAATAGTGGAATCGGTCCAAAAGTACACCTGGCTGGCGTCGAGCGGCATTTGAGGAAGGATGGCAACGGAGAGTTCTGTCAGAAGGACAGCTCCGCACAGCTCGAGTCTCAGGCAACGAGACTGTTTTTCACGGGGGCAACGCGGGTTTAGGCTGTGAGAAGGGTACACACAATGCCTGCGGACGCTCAACTCGGACGTAGATCGCTGCCCCATAGGCACGTTGAGACGCGTCGCAGAACCCATGAATCTGTACCTTGGCCATCGGACAGACGTGTAACCACCGCGGAATGCGGATCCCTTGGATGGCCGGAAAGCTGTTCAGGAATGTCTCCCAGGCTTGAGACAGATCGTTAGGAAGGACGTCATCCCATCCTAACTCTCTCAACCAAATCTCCTGCATAAATATTTTCGCTTGGACGACGAAGGGGGCAAGCCATCCCGCTGGATCAAAGAGCTGCGCGATCTGGGACAGCACATTGCGCTTCGTGCAGGATTGTCGCTCGTTTAAAGCGGGAGGCGAAAAGAAGAACTCGTCGGCACTGGCTTGCCATCGGATTCCCAACGTCTTAGCGATGCTACTCTCTTCCAGCTCTAGGAAGTCAGCGCGGAGTAAGTGGTCGACTGGAATGTCGCGCAGGACGCCCTTATGGTTAGCTGTCCACTTTCGGAGCGGAAACCCTGCAGAGTCGAGTGCTTCGCGTAGTTCAGCAATGGCGGAAATTGCCTGAGACTGAGAGTGAGCACCAGCGAGCACGTCGTCCACGTACATGTCGCTCTCCAGGATGACGCTTGCCATCGGCAGCTGTGGACGCACCTCTTGTGCGAGTTGCTTGAGGACGCGGAGGGCGAGGTACGATGCGCAGTTGACTCCGAAAGTGACAGTGGTGAGCTCGTAGTCACACACGTCCCCGTTACGGTCGCGAAACAGTATTCGCTGATAGGGCGTGTGTTGGGAAGCCACTTGGATTTGCCGATACATCTTGTTGATGTCGGCATTG